GTAAAAGGCTAAAAGCACAGAACTATTTGGGTGTTAAATAGTTCTGTGCTTTTAGCCTTTTACTAATAAATTTCTAATATATTTTTGGCGTCATCACTTTTTCAAAGTTTGTCCCGGTACCAAAAAATCAACATAAATACATACTATGTACCGGAAAAGATGTTTTTTTTATAAACAAAATAGGTTTGTTTATATAAATTAGAAGGCTATGGCAAATATGTATTTGTCTTTTAAAAAATACTATTATTTTTTGTGTATGTATTTGTTGTTGTTTTTTTTTAAAAACACAAAATATATAATCATAAAAAGTCACTTCAGTCCGCCGCGTGACTGCCTGCCACCTCTATTGGGAGTCTACCGGGGTTAACACACAACAGAAGAGAGAGTTCAAGACTCAAGATCTTGCCCCAAGAGTCAAGTGTCAACAAGGGAGGCCTGAATGATTTATGATATTTAGCCTCACTGTTAGGTGTAAAGACTGTATTAGTGAAACTGGGCCACCTGGCGGCTGCCGGCCTTCTGCCAAACACTTTGTTATGCGAATTTTCTTGTTGTATTTTGCTATAAAAAAGGTAAATATGTACATATGTACTATACATAATTTTAAAAAATGTATAAAAAACAAACTGTTCTGTTTTATTTAGTATTTAGGCTATGACTGTTCCGTTTTGTTTTGTTTTGTTTTGTTTAAAAAAGTCCACTATTGTTTTTGTAAAAACAAACAAAGTAAAATAAAAAATTACCTGTCGAGTGCGGAGTGCGGAGTGTGGCTCTGCAGTCTGCGGGCTGAAGCCTAAAGGGCTTCAAGAAAAAACAACAACCAAATATGAGAAATCTTGAAACCACCATAAATATAGCCAGCTACGCACGCCAGCTACGATTCTAGCCACCTACACACGCCACCATAATTAGTGCAACCTGCACTTCCCACCTACTCATACTTGGGTATTTATTTCTTTTTTATACTACATACACTGCACAACTTAAAAACTTATATTAAATAAAACGCCCTACCATACTTCCCTCCCACTACAGGTGGGAAGTGCCACCTACATTTCCCACCTTAATAATTAATAAAACATAATGTTTGCTTGAGCAATACTTTACTAGATAGTTCCTGGAAGACACCACGACGCCAACATGGTAGCAAACTATCGAGGCAGCACTCGTTGAGAGGTAAATATGAATTGGGAATGTTTGTGGCAATATTTTATCTAAACATGTTCTTATCTTAAATAGTCTTCTCACACTAGTAGGAATTAAAATATAAATACAAACTGCGCAGCTCTGAAATTTCCGCGACTACAAGCAACTCGATATTCTATTCAGGGCAATGGAGCCGTATACACTTATTGATGTCGCAAAATACGCATCTAAATTGTCTCAGCACAAACCAAGCCAGACCAAGCATTTAGAAGAACATTTGTGTTTCAACTGATATAATACTATTTTCAAAGACCCACGGAAATAATGTGCCGGTACAATACCTTGTGTGCACCTGTGTATGTCTGTGTGACCCATTGATTGGCTAAAACATACATTTTTCGTAGGTGGGAAGTTTAGATTGCGCTAATTGTGGTGGCGTGTGTAGGTGGCTAGAATCGTAGGTGGCGTGTGTAGGTGGCTATATTTATGGTGGTTTCGAGATTTCTCTACATTGTTTTTGTTTTTATTCTTTTTATTTATATATTTTTTATTTAAAAATCAAAACTATAAAGCGAAAGTATCTTAGTATAGCCCTCTAAATTGAACAATCTTAGCCTTCTAATTTTTGTTTTTAAAAGTTTGTTTCAAAACAAATCAACTCAAAGCACAATTGAATGGGCTAAATACATACTGCAAAAACTTCGAAAGCTGTTTTGTTTACATTGTTTTTGCAAAATAAACAAAGCATCCACGAACCAGGTGGTGCAAATTCAAAATTGACCTTTTTTGGGTGGGGCAATTCCAATGTGCACACAAAAGGTATTAGCACACACACCTTTGGGAATTATACTCGAATTATATGCTAATGTACCCACATCACTAATATAATTGTGCATTTGCGTGAAAAAGGACTGAAGTCATACAGCTAGCGAGTAGTAAAGAAGGAATAAATAATACTTTGACCAGAGAAATCCATTAGGCCTATTACTAATTTTTTTGTGGATATAGGTGTGGTATATAATTTTAAATGATTTACATATAATCGAACAATAGCGTAAGCTGTTATAAAACTTACAGTTATGTTAACACATGAACAGCGTACATGGTCATGTATGTATATACGGTTGATGCTACCTGAATATATGTTTAGTGAAATTATGTACAAAGCTGCGAAAAAGTGTTGGAAGCTCGTAGTAACAGCATCTAGTGAGTTATGAGTGTATATATGTGCGTAGTAGACCGGTGATTATTAATGTATTACTAATCCAGGCGGTAAGATGATGTAGAATTTGTTATACCCCAGTTTCAGGCATGAAACTCGTTGGGCATGCTATACAGACCAGATAGAGAGAGAATCACCCCAAAACGTTACCTAGAATTTTAGAAGGTGTTGTAAGCGTTGTTTACATTTTACTACAAGAAATGCCTGTACAGATACAAACTTACGTCGTATAGATAACAGGTACTTATATAATGAGACAAGGCCTCCTTGTCTTTTTTAGGAGGTCATGATTTAGAGTAAATATTGGAGTGATTTCTACCGCCAAAAAAAATGTGCAATTTGTACTTAATTATTCCGTCATATGTGACAAAATATTTGTAATTATTTATATACTTTATTTTTATTTTTAAAAACAGACATACCCTTCTGAAGATAGAACAACAAACAATAAATGTTGCGCCATAGTTTTCTGAAACAGGAACAACAAGAAGGCTAAATATGTTCAATTTAAGCATGGCTCTCTGGGATTTGAGTCTGCGCTAAATATACAATTTCGTCGGAAGAAACCTGATTTCTGCTCGAGACCCAAATCCAGAGGGCCATGATATAGGAGGCTATGAATATGCTATTTTTAATATTTTTAGTTTGCCGCTATGGTTTTTATATTTTTCAAAAACAAAAATATTTTTCACATCACTATTATTTATTTCTTGTGAACAAAATGTGAATGCCTTAAAAATGATTTTTATTATAAATACTTGAACTTTTGCGTGACTCTTTTTTTCATGTTTTTTTTAACAAAATAGACAACTAACTATTTTTTAAAATACAAAACAGAAATACTTATTTATTTACGTATATACGTTGAAGTTTGAACCGTTGAACGAAATATGTATATATATATTTTTGTTTTAAACACAAATAGAGTGTGCACAAAAAGTAAAAGGCAAATGTAAAAGTTTTTTTTTGTTTTTTGCTTTTCAAATTGTCTTTCCTGTTTTGTTTTTTTTAAAAGCAGAATATAGCAGTTAAGACTACTTTCAAGTAGAGGTAGCTCTATCACTCTCATTACACTTTAAGAGTATTTAATTGTCGAATAAATGAAGAGGACAACACTTTCCGTTTCTGAGTTTCAAGTTTTTTTCTCTTTTTGTTTACAAAAATATATCTATAAAAGAAATTGTTTTTAAATTTTATTGTTTTTTTCCCAACTTGAAGTATAAAATACAATTTTTTAATAAATAGAACATATGTACTGCATATTGTGGCTAGTCGCGACTGTCTTGCGTGTCAAAATAGTTTGATATGAGCAAAAATTTACAATATTTACTTTTTTAAATTCCGGTGGGACCCCACTCCCCAAGTCGGTCCGAGCCCTATCAGTATTCAGCATTTGTTTTAAAAAACAAATTGAGGATTAAACCTGGGTCCTGGGGGCTGGGGCAAGGCACGCACGGTATTTTATTTTAAACGACACTAAATACTGGGTATGTTTTTTTTAAATGACCATCATTGTTTTTCACTTTTCAGATGTGACCATCATTGTTGTTGTTTCAGATGTTTCTTCTATTATTTTTAAAAACCATTCCAGATAATCAAGCTGAAAACATGGGAAGTCACTTTTACAGGTTCCCGTTCCTCTACTCTGGAGCCTCAAAGTCTCAAACCCCGTATCGTTCCAACAAATACATGATACCTCGTCGGATCGTCCTGGACAGTATGAAATTTCCAGCTGTCAATCGACCCCTTAGACCCGTACCGATTCTCTCGTTTGATGATATGATATATATCTCATGATGAATACATCGGACTATCCGTTCTGGTGGTCATCTATGGTCTTCGAAGTGATTTGAATATCAGGAAACATTGTACAATTTTGTTGTTAGTAATTGGCCTGTGAGGCTAAGCCGAGTACAATGAGGTTTTGAGAGCAGAAGCAATAAATTTCGATCAGATCATGTGATTGAGCAGTATAAGAAGCACTAGAAATGATCTTTGTCCATCAGTTCAAATACAAAAGAATAAAGAACTAGACAGAATGAAGTTTTGCACTATCATCACTATCGCAGCCGTTGCTGTTGCAGTTAGCGCTAAGTCTTACGATCAGCAGATCACATGTGCCGCTAAGGGATTCACTGGAAAGTCATACGACGAACCCAAGGTCTGCTGTGAGTATTCAGGTAACTGCGGAAATCTATCCAAATGCACGGAGAGCTTTTGCGCAGCATCCGGCCGCTCTGGCCGCCATGGACGCGGTAGTTCTATTTCTTCTGGCAGCTCTGACAACGCTGGCGTGTCTGGCGACTCTATGTCTGGCGTATCTGGTGACTCCTCTTCTGGCATGTCTGGCGACTCTATGTCTAGCATGTCAGGCGACTCTGAAATGTCTGGCAAGTATGACAGGTCTGGCAAAACTGACATGTCTGGCAACGCTGACAAATCTGACATGCCCGTCAGCTCTGATAACATTGACAACTCTGCCATGCCTGCTATCCCGGGTAGAGCTGCTAGTTCTGGTAGCTCTGGCAGCCCCAGTTACGATTGCAAGATCACTTGCGCCGAGAAGCGCGTACGTGTCCCCGACGATCTTCAGGGTCCTATCCACGAGGACAAAGAGTGCTGCGAATGGTCTGGTGAGTGTGGTGATTTGAACAAGTGCACTCAGTCATACTGTGAGAAGGATTCCGCTCCCTCCGACATCTACGACTTCCAGTTCTAAATTGACTGTGCTGTTTAGCTAAAATGCTTTATCATGCTACAAAACAATGGAAATATGCTTCATTGTTTTTAAATGCAAACAACAATACTGCGAAAGGGATTCGTACCGTCCGACATCTTCAATCAACTCGACATCCAGTTCTGTTTACTGTTTTGTCTAGTTGGATAAAGACACCCTAAATCCCCAATTTTTTACGTACTGATTCTTTAAAACAGCCATTTAAACTGTCGTCTTGAAGACATCTCATATTGCGTTTCTATCTGTTATTTAATGTGGGCTATTTCGCTTGATCAATTTCTGATATAGAGGTTAAATCCTCTACCGTTCATCGACGCAGGATGTAGGGTATATATATATATATATATATATATATATATATATATATATATATGTGTGTGTGTGTGGTGTGTGTGTATATATATATATATATATATATATATATATATATATATTATATATAGTACTA